AAGTACAAAAAAAAAAAAACAAAAAGAAAAAAAAAGTTTCCTAAAAAATCATTTTTTTAATCAAAGTTTAGTATTCGTTTGACCTTCGTTTGCATCAAAATTGTCCATGAAAGTGAAAATTTTTTTTACACTTGGTTATGAAATTTGTTTCCATTTCTAAAAAAAATAAATAAATAAAAAAAGTCAAAAGTGACGGTGTGGCTGGAAAACCAATTTCTAAGAAAGTCAGGCGCGTGGCCACCATCCAAGAAAATTTTTTGCCAAGAAATTCTTGTCAATCAAACAGGCCTTTTTTCAAAAAGATGAAAAATGATTTCCAATTCCATGGAAAAAGAGCCCTATCAAACAGGGCCTAAATGGAGTCTTTTAACATTTCGAGGTACAATTATATCACACTTACAACAATTAAATACATATTAACCAACCTCAAGAACATATCCTTTTAATGTAGTGAAAAAAAGAAAAAAATTTAGAAAAATGTCATCTTCCCCCAATCAAACTAATCAACCCACCTCAAGAACATATCCTTTTAATGTAGTGATAGTCAGGGACAGACACACATGAGATCATGTGGGGTTAAGTAACCCCACAAAATTATTTATTTATTTTTTTTGTCAAAAATTCTATAGTTGCCCTACGAGATTTTTTACCTTTAAAGTAGTACATTTACTTCACGTTTCAATACACAACTCAAATAAAATTTCCTCCAATCTCTATTCTTCAATCCAAATAAACCCTTCTTCTCCAATACACAATCCCTATTCTCTATTATTCAATCGGGTCTGCAATTTTACAGTTCTAATTTTTATGTTTGATGTACTAAATTTCTCTCCCTTTTACTTTTCTAGTATCATTATTCATGATTGATGGTTTGATATCTTAAATATATGTAAATAACCTTTAATCCACTTCGATTATAAGAAAATTGTTAATAAACCCTGAAATTTAATTAAACTATTTTCATTTACCTCTTGAAGATAAGGATAAATTTAAGAAATTTTTATTTTTCTCTTCTTGATTTTTATTTTCCTTTTTCTTCATCTCTGGTTTCATTATCTCTCTCTGCTTTCAGTGTTTGCCCCCAAAATGAGAAAATTGATCAGTTACCTTTTAAGTTAAGGATTATAACTATTGTATAATTTCAAGTCAATACCCCAATTTTCATATGATATAACATTTACTCCTTTAATTCTAATAATAGAAAACTAAATCATTGAATTCTTATTTTATTTTATTTTATTTCTGGTCCTTAAGTACTTGTAATTATAAATTAAACCCCATAAAATTATTTCTTCAACTTTAGTCCTTATTTCTAGCCCATCTTTCTTCATTTTACATTTGCAGCAATTTATTCTAGAACATTCTTTAATTCCAACTTCCAATTTGAAAGCTTTTGTAAAGGATTTGACGTATGAAATTCACAATTTGAATATGTAATCTCTGGAAATTGTGTTTTTCAAAAGAAATTATTCTCAATTTCAAGTTTAGACTTTATTCTCAATTCCAAGTAATGAATTTTCCTAACTTGATGATTTAGAATTGTTTATGAAATTAATTTTGTCTATTATGAATTTAATGTTGCCTTTTGATGAAAATTGAATATGATATTTATTTAATTTTTGCAATGAAAATTGTCAATGGTTAAGTGATAGTTTGATGTCATATATTGAGAATGACGTATTTGATAATATTGATGATAATTATACGACATTTTTAAAGTATGAAAATGTGAAGATTACAATTGTAGTAGTATATTGACTTATTTTCATTAATGTTACTTTTTTTTTTTTAAAATACGTTTTAATTTTTTTTTTTTTAATCTCACAATAGAAAATGTTTGGCTTCGTCACTGATTATAGCATACAAGAACTTCAAATCTATTTACGAATGAAGTTGTAACATTGTCTAGTTAACTTAACTCATCATGTTGGAAAATTGACATTGACTGCTTAAAAGCATTTAAAAAAAATATCTAATAAATAATATTGAAAGATTGATTGGAAAATTATAATATTAGAGTACGTTACATTTAACGGAAAATTTGATGAAAACTGTCCATTGAAATAGCGACACACCATTCATAATTGAGGATGTACTTGTTTCATTTGAAAGTTGGAGATCGATTTATGAGTTGATCAATAGATTGAAGAATAATTTACCACTCAATAATAGCTTAGGGACCAATTCTACAATAGATTGAAGAATAATATACCGACTGAGGTTTATCTGACCTAGATAGGATAGCTTTCTTGTCTGCTACACCCCCACCCAATTCTACCCCGTCGCTCCTCTTATCTTCAAACTTCAATCTCCCTCGTTTCTTTGAAATTAAGCTAAAAAATGGCTTCTGCAACCACGCCTCTAATCAATCCATTTGAATGTTGTGCCTCTTCTGTTTCAAGAACTGCATTTCATCCTTCCAAACCCTCAAACCCATTCATCTGCCTGCACTCTTCTAAGCCTGCTAAATACGCCCGTCTATCATTTTCTTCCACTTCCTCCCAAAAATTCAAGATTTTGCCATATAGTGTGGTCCCACTTGTAGCACAAACCTCGGACTGGGCTCAACAAGAGGAAGAGGAAGAAAATCAGGAAGATGGGTTGGGATGGGAAGGTGCTGGGGACATAGAGGCTAGTGGCGCTGGTTCTTTTTCTTGGGAAGGTGAAAGTCAGCGAGAGGAGAATGTGGATGGTGGAAGTGTGGAGAGTGAAGATTCCATTTCTGAGCCTCCTGAGGAGGCCAAGCTTTTTGTTGGAAATTTGCCTTATGATGTTGACAGTGAACAATTGGCTCAGCTTTTTGATCAAGCTGGAGTCGTGGAAATTGTAGAGGTATAAAGATTCTTGATTTAATTTCTCAAACTTTGGCATTTCTGATGCTGATTTTATAAGTTTGTTTGTCTTTTCCTTTTAACTTATTTTCTGGATTGTTAATTTGGAGAAAGATTTAGATTTTGAGACAAGTGTGTCTTTGATATTATAGGTAATTTATAATAGAGAAACAGATCAAAGTCGTGGCTTCGGATTCGTGACAATGAGTACGGTGGAAGAAGCAGAGAAGGCTGTGGAGATGTTCAATAGTTATGTAAGTTGTTCTTTACTCCGCACTTGCCTTTTAGTTTGTTCACCCTTTTTCTCAATTGCTAAGTAGTTTTTGGTGAATTAGGATTGCTGAGACTGTGGGTTCTTGCTATATACTGCATAAAATTATTTACATGAGTGTCACTTGTCAGTATTGTTGCTATGTTCGATTCATGAGTTTTATTGTTGTGATGGGGATTTGGAACATGAAGGGATGTTTTAGCGCTGGGGACCGTTCTGCTTGCTGTTGAGATATTTATGAGCTCTGTTAATGGATAGTACGAGGAAGAAAAAATGCTAAAATGTTGTCATTGAAATGTCCACTATGGTCTAATGCTATGCATTAAACATGCACTTATTATTTTCGTTTTAATTATTTAGGAATTTGGTGATTTCCCTAACCTCTCATTCTACTATAATTTCCACATGATACACGTATGAATTTATTGCCCGTAAGTTAAATGACCCTCTGTGACAAGGCTGAGTTCGCAACCTGTTTTTCTCTTTGGAACTATCATTCTTGATATTTTTCCATGTTTTCATTTCCTTCTCCCACATGGAAATAGGATTTCCTCTGAATGTGCACCTTCATGCAGGAAGCTTACAAGTGTTTCTTTTACATATAATGCACACGCGTGTATACAGAGTCGATGTGCAGACTGAATGAGTTTTTTATGTTGAATAAGTGAATTCTTGAATAAACTTCTGTGTAAGATGGAGTAATTCCTGTTTTCAAGTGATATTCTTAGGCTTTCGGTGTGAAAATATAGCTTTAATCAGTTCTGAAATGATAAATGTAAGGTTCTTGCATTATGTTCTGAGTGTAATATGGTCGCGTGGACTTTTTTTTTTAATGACCTGAAAAGAGGAGGGAGACTATGGACAGGGAATCAAATGCATTTGAGTAGATTCTTGCTTTATGCAGACTGTTAATTTATTGTTGTATCCCAAGTTTACAATGGCTTACTGGAATGCTATTTTGATGGTATTAACTGTTGAAGATGAGTTTTTACTCAACTGTAGCAAACTCATAATCTGTTGAGTTTGGAACACAAAGGAAATAATTTTATTTATGAAATGGAATTTTACAATTTTGGACACACTCAACAAGGACCACTATCTAATATTTTATCCACTCCAATGAAAATTTCTCTCTAACATACACACGGCTGTATCTATATCTCCACTTTCTCTCAATTCATTCTCACCTTACACACTTCACTTCTCTCACACACTAATACACACAAAATGTAACTGAGCATAGATATATATAGGCATTGAAGTTGGTGGCTTCTTCTTCTACACAAAAGTCGGTGATTCTAAATAATTCCATAAATTAATTTTAAGGAATTCTCATGCATGGACTCTAGAATAGTGGTGGTGTATGGATTCTTCCAGGTTTCTCTAGGTGGTTGCATAAGAAAAAATCTGGAAATGATCTTAGAGCCAAAGTTGGTGATGTCTTCTTCAATTCTCTCCAGCACCGACTTTTCATTTTGACTCTTTTCTTTTCAGTCTCTCCAGCTTTGCCTGAAACTTGACCAATTTCAAATCGTCCGATTCTTTATTCAATGCATTGGCGACTTTAAATATATTTGACTCTTCCATGCTTTCCTCTTCATCGATTTTTAGATTAGAATACTTGGTACTTGATTTATCATGTTGGTACTTGATTTATCATGTCTACTCAACTTCCTCACTGGTGATTGTGAACTTTGACGTATCTCAATATCTTGTTGACTCTTTCGATCCCTCGTTAGCATTTTCTGGTCCACATCATTTTGCTTTGGAATCTGTGTTGTTCTTGTAATCTCTATTTTACCATTTGATACTTGTAAATCCTTAGATCCCTCAACTCTTTGTTGTGCTTCCTTGATCCCCTCTTGTAATTTGTCTTTAAACCAACAGTCTCTATCATAATGGTCTTGTTTGTCACATACAAAACACGAGCCATTAGTTTGTTGAAATCCCTTAGACGGCTAACCTCTCTTGTCATGACTATGTTTGACTCCCTTTGTCACATAACCTTCTTCATTTTTATTTTCTTTTAGTTCTTTATTATTTTGTTGACGAAGTCAACCTCTTCTTTTATAATTATACAGTGCTTCTTCTTCTTATTTCTTTATCGAGACCTCTAACATTTGCTTAGTTAACACTTCTTGGTCGGCCGCAAATTTTTGAGATTGACCAATGAGGTTGATCTGGCCAACCTCATTGTAATCAAGCAAGCTTTTGTGCACGAACGCTTGAATCTCAAAAATCCGTCGGCGACCGCTTCGCTCTGATACCGAATTGATGCGTTTGGAACACAAAGGAAATAAATTTTTTTATGAAATGGAATTTTACAATTTTGGGGATACACTCAACAAGGACCACTATCTAATTTTTTATCCCCTCAAATGAAAATTTTAATCTCTAACATACAAACGGCTGTATCTATATCTCCACTTTCTCTCAATTCATTCTCACCTTACACACTTCACTTCTCTCACACACTAATACACACAAAATGTAACTGAGCACAGATATATATAGTCATTGAAGTTGGTGGCTTCTTCTTCTACACAAAAGTCGGTGATTCTAAATAATTTCATAAATTAATTATAAGGAATTCTCATGGACTCTAGAATAGTGGTGGTGTATGGATTCTTCTAGGTTTCTCTAGGTGGTTGCATAAGAAAAAAAATCTGGAAATGATCTTAGAGCCAAAGTCGGTGATGTCTTCTTCAAAATCTTCATGACTCTTTTAGGAGTCCATCGCTGAATCCCATGGCATATTCACTAAGAAGAGGGTGGAGTAGAAAGAGATTTCCATTTTCTTTTTTATTATTCTACTGGTATTACTTCATTATTTTTTCTTTCTCTTTCTTTCTTTCTTTCTTTCTTTTGTGTGTGTGTGTGAAGGAAGGGGGCTGAATTTCAAGAAGGCTTTCTCTAACTATAGTGAAAATCAACCTCCTGGATGTGTATATTCTTTGCAAGTTATATTTTCTCGTGTTGGAAAAGGATAACATTATTGGCTATTTATGCTCCTTAATAAATGCTCTTTTTCCTAGCATCTTTTGTGTGTAGCTCAAGACAGTATTCCACTTTAGACATCATCATATTTTAGTACTTCTGCATCCTGGTTTGCACTGTTGGTCCCAAACCTATTACCCCATGGTCCATTCGCAAATTGTTCCAAACCTTTTAAACAAGTGCGCATGACTTTTCATTATAGTTACAAGCAGTCCCTAAAGATTGGAACCACACAAATCTCTATTAACTTTGTCATGTGGCAATTGCACGTCCAACTTTATTTAATTAGGTTTTCATAATTTGATTCTCAAATTAGGTTGTTTCCTCGACATTTCAAGCGAGGCATGTTTCCATTACAGTAGTGTGGTATTGGGAATTCATTGTGCAATTTTTATCAAAGATTGGGGGATAACTTGTTATTGGGACAATGGTTTGGGACCAAATGTTCAATTTTGCCTTATTATGTATCATGATTTAAGTGCAAACTTGAAAATTACATTACTTGCAACTGATTTCAATTTGACAATTACTCCAGGATATAAATGGAAGGCTTTTAACTGTAAATAAGGCTGCTCCTAGAGGTTCACGACCAGAAAGGACTCCCAGAGCATTCGAGCCTTCCTTCAGAGTTTATGTTGGTAATCTACCATGGCAAGTGGATAAAGCTCGATTGGAGCAGGTATTCAGCGAGCATGGCAAGGTGGTTGATGCAAAGGTAGTATTTGATCGGGAGAGTGGTCGTTCACGTGGATTTGGTTTCGTGACAATGTCAAGCGAGACAGAATTGAATGACGCTATAGCTGCCCTTGATGGACAGGTAATTAATATGGCCATGCTATTCCTTTATTTGACTTTCAGTTATCTTGTAACCAAATTTGATGCTTGGAACTAAAATAAATTTTGCTGGAGATCGATAGTGACTTCTGCTCGAGTTAAATGCAAGGGAAACCTATGCCATAAATAAAATTAATCAGAATCGTTATATTTTGTGATATTCAATAACTAAACCAAATATTCATAGCAGAGAGTACTTAAGCACTCGTGTACAGCCCATCTTAACGTATCAAATTGTTAATTATCTGATATGGAATGTTAAATGTGTAAAAAACAACCTTAACAAGCAAACTCAAGTGCCAAATCAAAATCAGCAAATATTTTTGGGCATTTTTGTAACTGCAAATTTTTGTTAAATATTGTTTTGGAACTTGATTTTGCCTATTAAAGTTGATTCAAATTCGACTATTGTCATAGTTGTAAATTTCAGTCTACTCTTGTGAGTAAATGGAACTTAGATACAAACTAGTAGATATGAATTTGAATTAATTTCACATTTCTAGCCACCTACCTTTTGTTTTGAAGCCAATAGAACCCTTCAATAATTTCAATTTACCTGAAAAAACTTCTGCTTGTGTTGCCTTTAGTTATATATAATTGGGGACTCCGCTAATTTGAGATGTTTCTACTATAGCAAGCGGGAAAGAGACTAGGGAATGAAACTTTGAGCAAGTGACTTCTAACAACGTCTTTGAGGAAGAAAGGAATTTAAATTTTAAGAAGTTCTAATACTCAAGGTGCATGTGTGGCATTGTACTGGGCACTATAATAGATAATATTTTTACCTTTTTCTTATTTAATACATTCCATTAATGTCTAATCCAGTTTACTAAACAGGTCAACGGAGTATATTTTTTCTTTGATTTATCACCCATTCACATGTTAGAAAGAACGAAGTGATAGTTAAAATTGAATCTCTCTGCTTCTGACCTCAAGTGTAATTTGTACTGCAGAATTTGGATGGAAGGGCGATTCGAGTGAATGTTGCTGAGGAAAGACCAAGGCGGAGCTTCTTTTGATTCTTAGTTTTTTCCTGATGCAACTTATTTGTACTTCAGTTATTGCATTTTCCTGTTTGAGAAAGACCATTTTGGAGTCGTCTTTGCTTTTGGTGCTGGTTTTGAACTTGTCATATGATCGATGTCATAGTATTAAGAAATTAGGGATATGTAAGTCCACATTTTAAATTTGTACCTTCATCAAAATTTTCTTATGGTACTTGTGTGGATCTCTTGTTTTGAAGTTAACAATGCCAATGTGGTGTAGACTGTGGTTTGAAATGTCCACAAAAGTGAATTTCTATTTGATATGTAAGACTTTGCTTGCTCAGGAGCAAGAGCTATAAGGTGATCTTACGATGAATGATTGAGATCTTGGTCAATTAATACTTTCCATAGAGTTTAATTGTCGAATGAAATAAGGGAACTTAAAGGTTGACAAAACTTGATATAGTTGTTGAAGTTTCAGGAGATTTTATGACTCGACTCTATGATTTTGAAGTTCACTTTAAGCAACATTTTCGTCGATACATTGGATCTACAACCAGGTATAAAAAAAGCCTTATAGAAAATTTAGTCTTTGTTTAACGATCATTATTTCAATTTTTTAATTTTTATACTCATTTTCAGTCGGGCATTTAAACAATAAAATATTTTGCATAAAAATAAAAGTTGTTTTTTTCTACTTTTTAATTATACATTCTCTAAAAAATTACTATTCAAAATTCTATTTTATCTAAATAATAGTTGTCAGCTTATTGTTCCGATGAAAAAAGAGAAGATTTATTTAAAAAAATCTGTAGTTCAGGGCTTGAATTAACAAAAAACTCTTCAAATATGCTAAAAATCTGGACCAAAACAATACCTGTTAAGTCAATCAATCTTTATCCATATATTTCATTGGACTTATAATAATCTGCATTCCCAGTGTGCCTACGATGTAGTTAGGATTATTAGCTAATGTATATTTGTTTTATTGAAAAGTTAAAGAATTTTGATGTCAAATCAGCAAAAACTCCCCTACAGCTTAGTGGTGGAGCGTCAGTCTGCAGGGGTGCAATTTTTTCATTTTGCATTTTTTAGTTTCACTAATCCCCCCCCAAAACAAAAAAAAAAAAAAGGAATTCTCTTTCGCTAATGCATGGGATTTATGTTTCTAAAATCTAAACCCTCCAAACCCTAACCTAATTTCCCCTTTCAATTTTGTTTTTTAATCCAGCCATTCTTAACTACAAAATTGCTACTTCTTTCTCCATAAACTCCTTAGAAGCCAATCTCAGTCTGCCATGTTTGCATGAAGCCCGCAAGCGCACGGGATCGTTTTACAAGTAATAAGAATTGTGATTTAAGAATATGTTCCCACGAGAAATAAAATCTAATTTGTAATTCAATAGTTTTTATCAAATTCGAAGGGTAGTAACATCAAAAGAGAATTATATTTTGTTATTTATACTAATTTCTACTCTAAGAAAACAAGTAAATATGATGTTTCATCTATATGAATGTGTATATTGGATTCTTGTATCCCACTATTTTCATCTGTTTCAATTTTCAATAATTAATTTATTCAATTCATGCATATTTTTACAACCGATACAGCCAAAATGTTCAAGATACAACAATTTATGACTAACACGAGACGATCATATTTCTAATCCGGATTCATATGAAAGTCATTCATTTAGTTTAAATTATCAATAAAGTTGCATATATGAGAGTGATTATTCCCAATTCTAATTACACATGTTGATTTTATCGCGTTCTAAATTTATTGTGAATATTCCTATAATACAACAAGCAACTAACTATTCAATTGACAGCCAAACAATCAAATAGTCCAATGAGTATGTAAAATCAATCAAACAATACAAGAACTTCCTAAATTAATGTCTTAAATTGATATAAATGAAAATAGAGTTCAAACACTCATCAAATACAATTGAAAAACTAGCCTAACATGTTTAGAATTAAATTACAAAAGAAAAATTGGATCCGAATGAAGAATCTTGAATATCTTATGCAATTCGTCTTGATTCCACGTTATTAGCCTTGTTCTTCGATTCCAAGATTGATTAGAATCTATGAATTTTTTAGGTTTAAGGATGTTCCCTACATTTTGAATGGCTAATGGTATATAAATTCTAATATATAAAGAGTATCAAAAGATTGTATACCAAAAGTTTCCAAAACAAAATAAAGAAACACAATTTTTTCTCAGAATTGAACCATATGTACGCATGGTTCATTTGGTGCGTACACACAATAGACTTCAAATAACCTCAGTCTACCCAAATAAGGTTGTACACATGGTTTACAAGCCTATGTGTACACATACTATTGCCATTTTTGACCAAAATGTATATTGGTCCCTGAACTTTCTCAAGTGTGTATTTTGATCCCCTTCGACAATTTTCTCATCTCATTGGCTTCTCTTCAACTCCAGTTGATCCTTGACATTCTTGAATTGCCGTCTTACAATTCGACAAACTATTGGATTGTTGAACTTTAGTCCTCATAGTTTGGATTTCATCAGTTTTCTTCAATTTTCCGTTCCCTCTTCCAATTCTTCATGCAATCATCGGGTTTTACCTATTAAACACAATATAACACAAATTAGGCCATCATTATCATTTAAGACCTCGAATAAGTGTAGAAACTATACTTATCACGCCAAGGAAACCATTGTTTCCCTCAACGAACCCCACCCACCATTACCACCACCGTTTCTATTGACCCAAAATCCAAATCAAACTCCACTATTGAATCATAACCCTTTACCGGGTCAACCCCAGCGAGAAGAGGGTTTAAAGACGGAAGTTTCGATTTCTTCATGTATCCACCCGAGTTTTTCTTTTGTGTTTTTCCTGGATCTGGTTTCTTCAACCGGGTCGATTTAACCCAGAATCAATAACTTTGTTTTGGATGATTCTCGGATGACATGGGCCGATCTGGATTCTTTGATAGGGTTAATTCGACCCTGAATCGATGACATTGATTTGGATGATTCGCTAGGAGGAAAATATAGACATAGTAGTCGGATTTTTCCTGGCAAGGTATTGTTGTTCTTTTGGGGATAAAATTGCTTGTTTTATTTGCATCACCAAAGGGATTTTGCTAAATTATTGACAGTTTATGTTGGAAACAATCGGTGTTTGATTACATGCTGCTACTTCCTTGGAATAATTGGACTACTTTTTGTTGTCGTCATTGTTAATTGTCGAGTAAACATTTCTTGGTGTTATAGAGCCTGTTTGATAAAACTTCTCCTTTTCTACAGTAAATCAATTCTCATTTTCAACCACACATTCTTCAATAAAATAATATTTTCCATCACATCAATACTTTTTTCTTCTTTTTCAACCACACATTTCCCATCATATCACTATTCAAAAATCAATTTTTCTCCTAAAAATCCCTACCAAACACACTCATAATATCAATTTGACCGGGAAAGTCCCATAGATCAATATAGACATGAATTGTATTGAATTTATATGTTTTCTTGTGCTACGTATTTAGTCTTGCATTTCGATTGACTTAGCTAGGGACGATTAACTTGGTTTTGGTGGGTACGTGGAGCAGGCATGATATGCGTTTCGGGTCAGAAACACGAGGTTTATTGGGCATCAAAGTTCAAGTTTGTTGGGTTTTGATATCCAATAAATGACAGGCAATGATGTTAAACAATTTAGAATATATTTCATAGGCCCAGACCGATGAGTGGAATAATTATTAATATAATCATTTTGTTTGCTCAACCTGAATGCAACGTCGGCTACTTGTAGCAACTTAATTTGTTAATGTTGTCTTGTCCCAAATTTACTTATAGGATGATTTTCTTGCGTCTTGGCCAATGACCTGGTATCTTGGCCCAATTGACGATATAACCTAAACTATATATATATATCCACTTTCATACAATTGCAAACGCTTGTGTGCTTTATGAATATATTGAAGAGAAAACTTTGGTTGCTTCCGTCTCTTTCTTCGTGCCTTTGCCTTCTCTTTGCCTTTGTGGCTTACAAATAACTACCATAACCTTGCTCCTTTGTGGGTGCGAAAGGAAGAAAGCAACCATAAATGAATGCAAGTTGTGGATCGGAGTTTTAATTAATTTTTTGATATCGATTGGTAAGTTGAAACTGAGCTCGGATTCCACCAATTGAAGGTCAATTCCGCAACAGTTATTTTGAAAAATTGTTTCTTAAAAAAAAAAAAAAAACTAGAAAGTACGTTTGGTTTGAAATTTTGATAAATTATTTTATAACATTTTATTTCGGGAAATTTAATTATTCAACAAAATAAAATAATTTATGTTAATATATTATCAAGTAATATATATTTTTTAAAGTTGATAAAATTCTCATTTCAATATGTTTTTTTTAGAATTTTTATGTAAATAAATATTAAAAGCTTGTACTTTGTTTTTTTTCTTACAATTTTTTATTTCCTAGATTCTTTAGAATTGTTATTTTTTAAGAATGATAGAATTTCATTTTTTTTTTAGTTTATTTATCAAAAAAAAAAATTTGAATTTTTTTGCTTGTTTTTTAGAACTTAAATGGAAATAAATTTTATTTAAACTCTAATTTTCCATGCTTAGAGCGTTTTTAGAGTTTTCAATGAAAACATTTAAAATGTCAAAAATATCATTTGAAGTTTTATATTATAAGTTTAACATTGTTTTGAAAAATGTGCTTTTGAAAACTAGAAACAAAGCCCACCCACGTATTTTATTATGTAGCTTAATGATTTGTTGGAAAATATTGAAATCATTGCTAAAAACTTCAAGAACAGTTAAAATGGTGCTACCAACATGATGATTGCACACCCAAACCGTGCCACCATCTGTTGCCTTTCCTGAATTGTAGGTGTGGTGTAACAAGTTAGTTATACAACTGACATATCAATTCTAGAATGCTCCTTGTATGTACATTGCTTGTATAGCTCAAGTATTATTTAAAGACCATTGTAAATGATCGATTCAATTAATCAATCAGGTAAGATATTCCAATCATTTC